GTGCATATCCACCGTCCCGTTTGCTTCATCGATCAATCATCAAAATCAATCTGTTTACACTATACTGTGAACGGTATGAATAATTCACATTTTATACACTAAGTATTGCCGTTCCCTAAAATAAAACCGAGATCGATTTTTTAATCTTGGAATGACTCAATCCAGCATGAGGACAAATTGGTTTAGCAGATAAATCCACAAAGAAGTTTGGAAAGAGAAGCTGCGGTACCACCCAGTGTTTCATTTCCAGTATCCAATAATGCATCAGTTTCAGTCAAGGGCTACTTATAGAGCAACACGATGATGGCTATTGGTATCTGGCCAGACGTGAACATAATACAATGCCTTCTGCGGATATTCACGGCCTGTTATGGCATAGAGCCCGTTTTTCAAGCGAATAAAATCACACCCTCGCAGATGGACGCTGCTGACCCACAATCATGAAGCAAAACTGAACACATATAATCTCGGTAGTGTCCACTTTCTTACCCGTTGCCCCCGGACGCAACCAGTGAAACAGCTCTGCTGGTCATCAGTTTGTACTAGCCTCCGGGGTATATCTCGGGGTACAATACGATATCGTTATGACTGCTGCTGCTGTTTCTGTGACTACTGAATTGAATCATCAATTACCAAACGCGAAATGTGATTGTTTTGAAATTGTCCTCAAAACTATTGCTCTCAAAGATGTGATGGCAGCTAGGGTTACCTCCGACTGGAAGAAACAGCACGCAACTCACTTTTCGCGTTGTATGAGAGAACCTGTGTGCGAGGTTTTCTTTAACGCATGTTAAAAATAGTACGCTTAGGTGAAGACCGAAAATAGTCTCTTACGTTTCATTTGTCTTGTCATCCGTTTATAACCTCTCATCAATTCACGCCGAATGCGTTTACCGATGGAGTTGGTACACTTCGATAACATCTGCGGGACGGATCACTCCCTATTAATGTGTTAGAAACGTGTCGTCCAGGGGCAGAGATGGCGAGAGAACAATTTGTCCCATTGGGCACCAGAGAGATTGTGGTATCTCTCTCCTGCTTTTGCATATAATGACACGTTTGAAATGTTCATTGCCAAATACAAACTTATACAGCTTTCGAATAGCTGACCTCAGCAAAATGGACACCAGAGCCTATTTTTAGTGCTTTTACAATAAGTAGTATTCTACCTCCCATAAAAATACGGAAAATCGGCCATGGAATCGAGTTTACCGAGGTTAAATGCATTTAACCCATAAAATCTAACGCAAAACTATGGAAATCATTGTTCGAGGTTTGTTTATCTCGATGTGATTCCCTGGCCTACGAATGAAGTTTGCGTTGGCAGGAGTCCCAGCATAAGAATAACTTAGAGTACCGGATAGACATGTCTGGCGAGCAGCAAAAATCGCGAAACCGTTCGCGTACTTTGTGAAAATTGTGTCCGATCATTGATATATCCGGAAATCTCCGTTGTGTCTCTTCAGATACATACTGCAGTCAAGTAACCGCTTCCGCAGTAAGCCAGATCCCATCAATCGTATCATTTCGTCTGTGAGCGCTCGGTCACGTACCTAGGCACAACCGAGCGGCAAATTAGGCAAAGAGTAGCCGAACACACCTCTGTGTGGGTTAACAAACTGGTGAACGAATTACACCCGAATGTTCAAGGTCAAGGGTTGACCCAACGCTGCATACCAGCGTCATCGATCGCTCGTCGTGTGTTGGAGACTGGGCATGAAGTGAACGGGACCACACCATTTAATAGCGTCCTCATCACGCAAAACTCTCGGTTGCTCCAGTTTGTAGAGGCGATTGGCATAAAACGACGGTAGCCTGGACTGTAACTCTAGCTTTACCTTGGTAGAGAGATGGACGAAGATAACACCAACAGCTCATCCGCAATAAATATTACTTGTTAGTTTTCATTATATTCGTTGACTGTAGTATGCACCTGAAGAGACGGCGAAATTATTCCGGAAATAAATTGTGCCACACTGTGCTTCTGTGTTCTTCATTCAACATTCATATATCACTTATTATATATCCATATATACCATAAAGACATGAAAAGTATTTCTGCAATACCTTAAAATTGCAAATGGCGTTAGATTTATTGACTTGAGGGGTACCTGTACCTTGTTGAGAGGTAAGTGAAACATTGAGACTGGAAAATAAACATATAGACGTGAAGCAAACGGACTCACAGTCCTCTCTTTTTCTTGTAGTACACTTTATGCTGCTTTTTGTTCACAAATATTGGTGTAATTATATTCACTCTGGAGGGTGGAGAGGTGGTGGAAAATATTACTGTTAGTGATTGTGGTTCGTATTCAGCGCTAAGCTCACTTTTATGAATTTTCTGATTCGTTGCCTCTCCCTTTCTCTCTCTGGCCCTCTTTTTAGAATTCCCTTAAGGGATTCGTACATTATTCTCATCTAATCGAACCGGAAGACGAATTCTTCTTGCCTTCAGACTTGTCGATTCACGAGGACACATGCCCTCGCTCGCTGCTAACAGACGAGCAAACTTCCAGTCCGATTGTGGAAAGAAATCGAGCTTTTCCGTGTTATGCCGCGTCTAACAAAGCGGACCAGATAGTGCAACGTGATCACGTGACCCACAGACGGCTAAGTTGTCAAAATAATGCTTCTAGTGAAAAAAACATACCCAATGAAATACGTCCACATTTCGAGATGTATCAAGCCCGAGAACTAAACAGCACGGCGCCTTTATCCCAGACTAATTCATCCATAGGGAACCGTGCCAACAGTAGTACATTGTCAAAATCGTTCGATCACAGCACCACAATCGGATCATTCATGCGTCGACCGATTTTTCCCTCGCATCCCGGACCCAATCGTGAAGCGTATGTATGCGAACGGGACTTAGCTGTGGGAAGTGTGCACGACCGCACCTTGGAAAAAGTACAACGTAGTGTTTTGCGAAAAATGATTTCCGAGCCGACATCAAACTCGAGTCGATTTGCCGCTTTCGAAGAGTCGAAACGAAACCGGGAGTTGCGGCCGCATATTCGTTGTTTTCTCGATGAGATTCTCACTCCAGCTCAGTTGGTCTTGAACAAATCCATCAGTTCCAAACCAGATATACGACAATCAGTTGTGAAGAGTGAGAGCATCATTGAAAAGGATGGTGACGCGGTCTCTACCAATCCGGGCAATGTGAAGCCCAAACGTGACGGTCGAGAAAGCATCTCTAGCACTTTGGAATCGAAATGTGATCCGATTGTTTCGGCTCAGTCCCCTGGTTTGTCTGCCGAAGATACAGACGACCAAAAGCTATTGCAGTAATGAGCAGCAATCGATTGGTTCTTTGATTCGGTTTGCACTAGACCAATCCGAATGAAAATATGTGAACTTGCATCTAACAACTGTCAACTGTCACTTTTAAATGTAGTATTCCTTGCTTTGTTTATTAGTGATAGTTTTCTTGAAAAATCAGCAAAGCGCAAAATTTATTCTCTACACCCTTATAGCCGTGCTCCTTCCGAGCTTCCTCACTCCCCCCCCCCACACACACACTCACCACAGGTAGAACGATCACATTTTGGCTTATTTGATTTAACACTTGATGAATCTTTCAGAATAAAACGCCAACATCTGGGTCAGTTTTCGTGACTTGAATCGTGGATTAATACTCACAAACGTTTCCATAATAACGCTGATGTTCCGTTATCCAATCAGAAATGGAAAAAGCTATCTGGTTAAAGCGGATTGCACAGTGTTCTTGTTGACGGATGCATTATCCAAACTGTTGCGAGCCCCACACATTTTCCTCGGAAAACCGAACTGAAATGAAAGCTTCTAACTGCAACTGTCCATTTACCTATTCAGAGGGATATTCCGCTTCTCTCTCTCAATTCAAAACCGCCTGTTCCACTCGTGTATGCGTGTTTATGTGTGCATTTAAGAAATCCATACGCGTCCGCATTTTCACTCCGCTTTCAAACCACCAAAATCGGACGAGGCATCAGGCATTTTTGTGCAGTAGCCATTTATTTCAATTCATTATCATGAACTGATATGGAGACTTGAAAATGTAGTTTGTTTAGTTGTTAGCGTTAATCTTTCTTTTTTGTTTCTGTTTTTCTCAGCTGTGAATGTGGTTTCCCATAGACATGTTTTCCTGTGTGACATGTTTTCCGGACGACTTGTGAAAGTTGTTCATTCATGACATGTACACCTTCACGGGACCGGAACTTAATGTGGACAACAGATTCTTACTAACATTATCGGGTTATATATTTAACACTTAGAAAATGACACAGAATTGGCAAATGTGCCACAACATGTGAAGAAAGAGATGTGAAAATGGTTGAAATGTAAATCAACGAATAAGAGTCTCGCAACAGGCGCGCCATTAA